TGTGTATTGTCATTGTGAATTAATTGTGAAGTGTAATGTTTAGTTGATCGTTTGTTTGTATTGTGAATAAGTCGTTTATGGGTGCCGGTAATTGCTGTGATCTGTTCAGGGGGTTTGTTCCAAGGATGGTATACCAACTTTCTAATGTAACCGTTGTCTATAGTCAGTACTGTAAAGTAATGCATTTTGCCGAGTCCCAGTCAATGTTGTGCTTTGTGATTCAATGATGTTCGGCAATGTTTTATGCTGTTTCTTAGTAGCTCGTTTGTGTTCAGTAAGTCTTATGTTTAAGTTCCTGCCAGTTTCCCCGATATAGGAGGCGTGGCAGTTGGAGCAGTTTATTTTGTAAACTGCACCTTGTCGTTCGTGGGTTGTTCTTTGTCCTTTATGTTCGTTAGTACTTGTCGTAACGTTATGATTGGTTTATGTACTACACGTATGTTGTATGGTTGTAATATGCGCGAGATAGTCTCAGACGTACCTTTGATGTAAGGTATCGTTGCTGTTGTCACTGAGTTGTTCATTTCGTTGGGTTCGTTGGGTTTGTAAGTGTTGCGTTTGATAAAGTCAGAGTTATAGTTGTTTTTGTCAAAAACACGTTTGAGATAGTTGTTTTCGTTCTGTAGAGCGTCCGGTGAATCACATATGATTTGTGCACGTCTTGTTAATGTTCTGATTTTGGTGGCTTTGTGTGATGTAGGGTTGTAAGATGTAACAAACCCCCCTAAACAGATCACAGCAATTACCGGCACCTTACAAACGACTTATTCACAATACAAACAAACGATGAATAAAACGTGCACTTCACGCACTATTCACAATGACAATACACAATTGACACACATTACAACTAAAAATATCGCACCTAAATCACACATCACAACTAAAAATAAAATATTTCATGCACTGAATTCACAATGACAATACACATTTCCTGTACACACAATGCAATGACAGTCAGAACCAGATAACAAATACGGCTAACCTGACGTATACTCCTCATTTAACTCTGAAGATGACTACCGCTAAGGTTGTCGAAACGTTGATCAGCAACAACAAAACAGTCCTTCTCAAGGACTTTATTAACCTGACGATCATCATTTACAAACATATAACGATACTCAGGTTCAAACCATTTTACTTTATATGGTTACTCTCCTTAAAAAATGACCCAACAAACACTCCACTCATTTAAGGAGCTTTACAACTACAGACTAGATGAATTTCAAAATTACTAATTTCACTTATACATTGTAAAAAGTTCCATAAAGGTTTCTTAGCTAACAGAAAAACTGTTTCAGTAAAATAAATGACTCTTGAGAAAATATGAAAATACAAATGTTTGTATTGAATATTATCAAAGAATATATATTAAATCTTATTTATATACAACTGTTGTTGTTAGGACTTTAGTGTAAATTTTTTTTAATTCACGGAACCACAAATCCATTTCATCTTTCTTCTATCTCGTAAATTTTCTCAAACACAGAGCTTTTAGCAACTAGCAATTTAAAAGCTTCAATGTTAATTCTATAGTATTGCTCGTTGCATAAAATCTTTTGCTTTTTGTACTTTACCATATTACTGTAAACCAAACTGGATTGTTGTACGTTGTCTGATATAACATGGTCAGGTCCAAATGCTCTCGTTTTAATTTCCATCGCTCGTTCATAAAATCTTTTGCTTTTGAACTCTCCCATATCTTTGTAAACTAAACCAAGATTGTTGTAAGTTGTCGCATATATTAACATGGTCAGGTCCAAATGCTCTCGTTTGAATTTCTATCGCTCGTTCATAAAATCTTTTTGCTTTGTACTCTCCAATATTACTGTAAACCAAACCCAGATTGTTGTACGTTGTCGCGATATTAACATGTCAGTCAAATGCTTTCTTTTGAATTTATCGCTTGTTTACAAAAATGTTTGGCTCAAATCTCTATCTTACTGTAAACCAAAGCCAGATTGTTGTAAGTTATCGCAATCAACATGGTCAGGTCCAAATGCTCTCGTTTGAATTTCCATCGCCAACTCATAAAATCTTTTGCTTTTCGTACTCTCCATATTTTTGTAAACAAAAGCCAATTGTTGTAGAACTGTCGATATTAACAGGTCATCTCCTCGTTTGAATTTCTAGCTCGTTCATAAAAATCTTTTGCTTTTCAGAACTCTCCCATATCTTTGTAAACCACCAGATGTATTGTGATATTAACATGGTCAGGTCAAATGCTCTCGTTTGAATTTCCATTATCGTATACAAAAATGTTTGGCTTTTGTATCTCCTATCTTACTGCAAACAAAACCCAGATTATTGTCCCAGTATTATGGTCAGGACCAAATGCTTTTGTTTGAATTTCCATCGCTCGTTCAAGAAAATCTTTGCTTTTCGTACTCTCCTATCTATGTAAATAAACCAGATTGCAGTACGTTGTTTGCAATATTAACGTGGAGTCAAATGCTTTTGTTTTAATTTCCATTGCTCGTTCATAAATCTTTTTTAGCGCCGTACTCTCCCCTTATGAACGTAAAACTGAGCCTAGATTGTGGTACGTTGTCACTTAATATAACGGTCAGGTCCAAATGAAACTTTCTTTCAATTTCCATCGCTCTTTCAAAAAATTTGCTTTTTCGTACTCTCCCTATTACTGTAAACCGAACAGATTGTTGTACGTTGTCACAAAATTGCATGGTGGGTCAAATGCTTTTTGTAAATTTCTATTGTTCGTTCATAAAAATCTTTTGCTTTTCGTACTCCCTTATCTTTATAAATCCGAACCAGATTGTTAAATCATTAACATGGTCAGGTCCAAATGCTTTTGTGTCATTTCATTGTTCGTTCGTAAAATCTTTTGCTTTTAAACTCTCCAATAGAATTGTAAACCGAAACCCAGATTGAAGTACATTGTCGCAATATTAACATGGTCAGGTCCAAATGCTTTCGTTTGAATTTCTATTGCTTCGTTCGTAAAATCTTTTGCTTTTCGTTCTCCCATATCATTAAACCGAACCCAGAGTTGTTCATTGTCCAATATTAACATGGTCAGGTCCAAATGCTTTTGTTTAATTTAATTGCTCGTTCATAAAATCTTTTGCTTTTTCGTACTCTCCCATATTTTTGTAAACCAAACCCAGATTGCAGTACGTTGTCGCAAAATTAACATGGTCAGGTCCAAATGCTTTCGTTTTAATTTTCATCGCTCGTTCATAAAATCTTTTGCTTTTTGTACTCTCCTATTTTACTGTAAACCAAACCAGATTGTTGTACGTTGTCGCAATATCAACATGGTCAGGTCCAAATGCTTCTGTTTGAATTTCCATTGCTCTTTCGTGAAAATCTTTTGCTTTTTCATACTCTCCCATATCATTGTAAACCGAACCCAGATTATTGTACGTTGATGCAATATTAACATGGTCAGGTCCAATTGCTTTTGTTTGAATTTTCATCGCTCGTTCATGAAAATCTTTTGCTTTTCGTACTCTCCCATATCATTGTAAACCAACCAGATTGTTGTACGTTGTGCAATATTAACATGGTCAGGTCCAATTGCTTTTGTTTGAATTTTCATCGCTCGTTCATGAAAATCTTTTGCTTTTTCGTACTCTCCCATATCTTTGTAACCAAACCCAGATTGTTGTACGTTGTCGCATATATAACATGGTCAGGTCAAATGCTTTCGTTTGAATTTCTATCGCTCGTTCATAAAATCTTTTGCTTTTCGTACTCTCATATCTATGTAAAAACAAAACCAGATTGCAGTACGTTGTCGCAATATTAACATGGTCAGGTCCAAATGCTTTCGTTTTAATTTCCATTGCTCGTTCGTAAAATCTTTTGCTTTTCGTACTCTCATATTTATGTAAACCGAACCCAGATTGCAGTACGTTGTCGCAATATTAACATGGTCAGGTCCAAATGCTTTTTTCAATTTCCATCGCTCGTTCGTAAAAATCTTTTGCTTTTCGTACTCTCCCATTTCATTGTAAACAAACCCAGATTGCAGTACGTTGTGGCAATATTAACATGGTCAGGTCCAAATGCTTTCTGTCAATTTCCATCGCTCTTTCATAAAAATTTTGCTTTTTCGTACTCTCCGTATTACTGTAAACCAAACCCAGATTGTTGTACGTTGTCAAAATAAACATGGTCAGGTCCAAATGCTTTTTGTAAATTTCTATTGTTCGTTCATAAAAATCTTTTGCTTTTTCGTACTCTCCCATATCTTTGTAAACCGAACCCAGATTGTTGTACGTTGTCGCAATATTAACATGGTCAGGTCCAAATGCTTTTGTTTGAATTTCTATTGTTCGTTCGTAAAATCTTTTGCTTTTCGTACTCTCCCATATCTTTGTAAACCGAACCCAGATTGTTGTACGTTGTCGCAATATTAACATGGTCAGGTCCAAATGCTTTTGTGTCAATTTCTATTGTTCGTTCGTAAAATCTTTTGCTTTTCGTACTCTCCCATATAATTGTAAACCGAACCCAGATTGAAGTACGTTGTCGCAATATTAACATGGTCAGGTCCAAATGCTTTTGTTTAAATTTCTATTGTTCGTTCGTAAAATCTTTTGCTTTTCGTACTCTCCCATATCATTGTAAACCGACCCAGATTGTTGTACATTGTCGCAATATAAACATGGTCAGGTCCAAATGCTTTTGTGTAAATTTTAATTGTTCGTTCGTAAAATCTTTTGCTTTTCGTACTCTCCCATAACATTGTAAACCGAACCCAGATTGCAGTACGTTGTCGCAAAATTAACATGGTCAGGTCCAAATGCTTTCGTTTTAATTTTCATCGCTCGTTCATAAAAATCTTTTGCTTTTTTGTACTCTCCTATTTTACTGTAAACCAAACCCAGATTGTTGTACGTTGTCGCAATATCAACATGGTCAGGTCCAAATGCTTATGTTTGAATTTCCATTGCTCGTTCATGAAAATCTTTTGCTTTTCCTCATATCATTGTAAACCAAACCCAGATTATTGTACGTTGATGCAATATTAACATGGTCAGGTCCAATTGCTTTTGTTTGAATTTTCATCGCTCGTTCATGAAAATCTTTTGCTTTCGTATTCTCCATTCTTCCGAAACAACTGACCCAGCTCATTGTACGAATATGAAACGTCAACATGATTGACGCCTAAAGCTCTAGTTTGAATTGTTATTATATCCTTAAGTACATTGATGGCTTGTTTATAGTTGCAAAATTTTTCTAATACATTTACAAAGTAATTGGCAATTTTCAAATTTTTTTTATCAAGTATTTGTTTTCTATAGAAAAAAAATAACGATTTCTCCTTGATCAACTTATTATGAAAGTGCTTAAATGACGAATGGTTTATAAATTTAGTAAGATGCGGAGTTATTTTAATTTCATCTTCTCTGTCTTTAAAGTGATAGAGTGCCCAAGCGACTTGATACGCAAGTAAAGACATCTTAGTCGAATTTTTTGCTTTTTGTTTACTGCAAGAAGTCTGCCAAGATTGATAATTTATGATGGCTTCATGTACAACGCGATGCAGGCGGATGTCGTTGTTTTCCGATTGAAGAATTAACGAACAATGCTTTAATTGAAGGCATATATCTTCTGCTGACTTATGTGGATCAATGCTTTTAATAAATTGTATGATAATATCTTGTGGCAACGGATCGAAAGATATTATCGAGAAAAGACTAAAAAATTTTTCCATTACTATGGATTCTTGGACACTTTTTTGTACTGCCAACTCAACAGTTTTCAATAAAGTTGATTTACCTCCAGAATATGCTTTATTGATCTTTTGAAATGTGGCATCCATGCTTTGTCGCTCTCCTTCATTCAACTTATGGAAATATTGCTCCCACGTGAATTCCAAATTTGCACTTTTTACACTACCTACGTAGTAAGCAGCACTTGCCAGGACCAATGGTTGACGATCTAATTTTTCTGACAAATTCTTCAAAAACTCTTCATCATGATTATGAATATCGGTATAGACAGATAGAAGCTGACGACATTCTTTATCATTCATACCATGACTAATTGAAATGTGTTTGTTTAGATTTCCATCTGGTGGTATAGCATCTGTGTTTTGAACAGTTACTATAATTTGTCCATTCTTCCAATTATGATCACCAACTTGAGGTAATAATGGATAAATTTTATCAAGTTCAACCACGTTATCTACAACAATCCACCATATTTTCCAAGATTTCAGTTTTTGTGTCAGCAGGAAATGAAATTGTTTGATTCTGTCTTCGCTGCTTTCTATCTTTTTTATAATATTTTCAATAAAATGTTCATTGATGTTCAAACGTTGACAAAGTTCATTATAAGTTTTTAAGAGAGAGTCAGCATCTTTTCCTTCGAGTGTCATCACAAATGTAGTTTTATTTTCCCAGTCAACAGAGTTAAACATTTTGTCGCAAATTTGTCTGGCTAATTGAGATTTACCACTGCCAGGATTACCAGAAATATAGTAATATGTCAGTTCATTATTGTTAGTACTGCGCAAGTTATTGAGATCTGCTGTGATTTGATTAAGTAACTCTGTACGTTTAACCACATCGTGATTTGGTTTGCAAGGAATTACTTGAAATGAATTAAATTTGTTTCGTTGACATTTAATTTCATTAATTTCAGTGAATGAAAATGCTAGATACTTAAGTGACTTTTCAATATCACCAACCATTTTGTGAAATTCGGTATCAGATACTTTACCTTTATTTACATGGGTCAATTTGTTTCTTACATTACGAATTTCATTTACTGCATCTCTAACTTTTGGGTCAAGATTTGTTCCAACTGAGTTGGAAAACAGTATTGCTGCGAACAGTGTTGTACAATCCCACTTACTGGTGTCACCATCTTGAAAAGTTTGCAGAATATGTTTGTCATGAGGTTTCTTTTTTGTTTTTTCAATATTGAACAACCTTTGACCACTAACGTTTGTATTTTCCCATTGTCCAAGAGAATTTTTGTAATGTTTGTCCCATTCTTGGATAAATAAATCAGCAAGTTTCTTTTCAACGACATCTGTAAGTATTTTCTGCATGTAGTAGTTATTCCTTTCTTCTTTTGACTCCATCTACGGATTATAAAATGATCATAAGATGAGCAATAATTATTCTTTAATACAATTTATGGACAACTGAAATAGTTGAAGATTGAGTTGGTAAATTTCCAATTGTTCATGAAATTGGTTAACCAACATGGCAGCAGAAACGTAGAAAAATTTTTCATGCATTTAGGTATTTTTGTGGCAGTTGAGCAAGTTGTTGAAAACCTTCATAAAATAAAATTTTAAGTGTAGCTAAGAGCAATGTAAGCAGTTGGTCTATAGGTGTGTTTGCAAACCGAGCTGAGCTCTACCAATTAAATCAATCAATCAATATAAGGGAATTTGCAGATCAATCAAAATCATGTTATAGGAAAAGTTAAAACGTTTTTTTATTTGCCTGTTTCGCATCATTGGATGCACTATGTTTTTATAAAAAAAAACACAAATGTGTTTGCGCTGGCTTATGCCAAGTTTGGAGAAGTTGTGAGTTCTCCCAAAGGTCTCCATAGTGCAAAGAGTAAATGCTTAAAACTTTTATAAAGCAGCTATCTACATGCCATGCAGGTCATTTTATCATTTCACTGACATTATCATTAATAAATGTACTTTGTGTAACTCACCATAATAAGACACACGACCAGTTTATTACTATCAATAATGTGTAAAGTAAGAATAACGTAATATTAAAGAAAACATGACCAGTTTATTCACAACACTATCAACACAAGAATATCAACTGAGTTGCATCATCCTAACCATTCCTGAATGCGTTTCAACAAAGACTTTTTATGTAAAGCTGACACAGAGTGCGTATAGTCGGTATAAAATAATTACAAATATTTGCTGAAATTAATCATTTCATACAGTTATCTAAAGCAAAACTTTATCAGTCGATAATGCAGTTGCACTATACACTATATGAGTGTAAAAATGTTGGTTATATTAAAAAAATCAATATATTAATAGTATTTTACATTGATTTATATTTAGCTGTACCAAAGGTCTTTAAAATCTGGTTTGTTTTCCGTTGGCGATGCAGAATATGCATCTTCAACATGAGATTTGAATGATACGTGACAAATGAATAAAAAAAGAAACATTTTCACCTTACTACAGAAAAACAGTAGGGATCAGAACATTTAAAACTGTGTGACGAGTGACGTGTCAGTATTTGACTAAACATGTTATTAATCTTATAGCTTTGCTATATTAATATAATTCGAGATAATCTATTGAAATAAATCGGAAAATATCAGAAGTTTACATTACTAAATCGTTACAAACGCAAATTTATTGAAAAATCTCACTAGAATCATTAAATGTTATCCATATAAAACATATACGTAACGCGGAAATGACTTTATCACAAATTTTTCTTGACATAAAGAAATAATTGATAAATGGACATAAATATTAAATCCCAAAATTAAAATACATTATAACAATGACAGGTAAAAGTTTAAAATCAACATACCTTCACAAATTCAGAAAGATTAAAGACGCAACCAACTACATGATGCTTTTGCTTGATGATAAAGAAATGGGAATGTCCACTAAATGTTAAATTTTAATCCCCTGCGGATTATATTGTGAAATTTTGAATTCTTTTCATAGCAGCAAAATGATAGAATGCGGAATGCAAATTTTATATGTTTTTGCTTTATAGCCGACTTACGACTTACTTTTATATGTTTTTGCTTTATAGCCGACTTAAATTTTATATGTTTTTGCTTTATAGCCGACTTACTATATATTGATAAAACTTGGTATCAAATCAGTTTGTTCAATAGCTATAAAATGATAAACTAGCGTAGCTCATTGAGTTCTATTATAACTCAATGGTGTAGCTCAATGGTGTTATTATAGAACTCAATGGTGTAGCTAGCTTATAGACCATGCCATTGAGCTAAATACAACTGGAACGCTACCTTTTTATGAAGCCAAAAACTACGAGAAATCACCTTTGTTGTGTAATTTCAGGGTAAATAAGATAACGTTCCAGTGAGAGATTTTAAGTTTATTTGTCATGCCTTTAGTGAAGCTCCCTACAGTTCACCCAAGATTCGGGTGTTTCAGGTAGCCTTCACTTAACCCTGTAGAACCCACAATGTGATTTTCTATAGCTAAAATTATTTCCATTGACTTTTATACTCATTTGGAGTCATTACTTGCTGAAATAGTGAAAAATTGTGTTTAGGTCCTATTTTGGCCTCATTGTGTTACGTGACATATATGTAACACCGGGCTAATTGTGGCATAAAAGATAACTTTATGCACTTCAGAATGGTTTGTAAGAATACATGTTATGTATGAATAATGGTTTGTATGCACTTCAAATAGCAGGGCAAAATGTATAATTTTATTAGTCAACACAAAACATGGTTTTTAAGAATGAAAAAAATATGTTTTTTGTAATGCTATCACTGATGGAAATCATAGAAACAATTAGATTTGAATAAAAATTGAAATCGATTACGACTCATGACATCACAAACAGGACTGTATGCAGTAGCAGATTCCCAATACTGTTGAACTCCACTCATCCTTACAAGCCCCATATGAAAAAACATACCAATGAGTTGTTCTATCTCTTTTTTATTAGTGTTTATTGAGTTTCCAGACTTTTGGACACTGTATTCATTGGTGCTTGTCACCAAATTTTGAAGCATATCATCACTCACAAATTGCTTAAAATATTGAAGAGGAGTTTTTGTTTCCATGTTCACTGGGGCTTCAACGTTTGGACCAGTAAATGTTACACTAGTTTCCGACACAACAAATGAAGTTTTTCTCCAACTCGGCTTACTTGTTCGCATTGAAGCTAGGGGCATGTTATCATCATTGTCATCACTATCATCGATTTCCACACTCACATTTTCAAACTCACCATCATCATCACTGCTGCCAGAGTATTCTCCTACAGAAAATATTTTCAAATGAAAAAGTACTGGTTAGCATGATTGGCTTCTTGAATAATCAGCCTTACTGAAAATTGCTGACAAGTTTATTTGTATTTTGAAATTTTATAACAATCAATCTTCTTTATTGCTATTATAGCATTTCTATTTTGGTTTATTCCAGTGTCAGTTAGCCAAGCTAATAGGAAATCTAAATTTAATTTGTACAAAAACCAATACAATCAGCAAAGCTTTTTACCTGTATCTGTTCCCAACATTCATTGTCACTGCTGCTATCTGAATCACCAGCATCACTATTGTCACAAGCAAGGATGTCAAGAACATTGTGAGCATAAAATGTTGTCCTTCCATCACCTAGAGATTTCATTCTAGTGTTAGCAAGTCAGTCTACACTTCCAGTAGTAAATATTGACTATCAGCCATTGGGCATTGTGAGCAGATTTTGACTCCAATGTTATTTACATGGTCTTTATACTCTCTTATTCTTATTCAATACAAAGTAATTAGCTTATCATGTTGCTTTTGAGCGATACTGCATCCTTCATTCCAACATTCTATATTATCTGCTATGAGGCAGAAAGCCCAATGTGACACCAATGTACACAAAAGTTTTGACGAAGTAAAATAACACATACCTTTTCAATCTAGAGCACATTATTGGTTTAATATGAAAATAAACACTAAAAAGCTCAAATATATAAAAAGTAATTTCATACCTTATATAATCAAAATATCAAACATATTTAATGCGTGTTTATGGACTTTGACTTCTTGATGATGGCCATTTTGTATATTGCATGCTGATCGCCATATATGGAATAACCAATCAAATTCACTCATTTTGTGTTACAAGAATGTCACGATGGGTATTGGTGCAAAATTTTATCAAAAAACTAGAATAGCTGGAATACAGAAGTCCACTGAAAGGAATGTTACACATATGTCACATGGGGCTTTACAGGGTTAAAACATTATTTTGATCAAACACAATGAAACTTTGGAAATATGACTTTGCAAGATAAGAATGACAGTAAAGTCTAAATATGCTTGAATAGGATAACTGTTTGCGTTGTTGTGGCAACCATGTCTCATTTTCTTTTACACTTTTATCGTCCAGGCTTTTGGAATTGACCGTATCTTTTTTTCGGTTCAGTTAATTTTTCTGATTTTTTGCGTGACGATTGTTATTATTCAAGAAGCATTTTGTTTAACAACAAAGGAATTCTATCTATTTGAATTTCGTTTGCTCACTTGGTATATAGTAGTGGAAACTGCTCATGATGTTGTTAAAAATATGTAAAAATAACTACCTGCATCTTTCTAAATGCTTTATATACGCTTAGTAACGTAGTAAATTGGACGGATTTCTGTATACGGTCAAAAAAATTCTTTGAATCTGAAAAGTGTGCTGTTTAATTGAAAAATTAATCGAGAAGAGAAGTTACTTTCTGGATTGAATCATGAAAATATTGAAAGGTAAGAAGAAATTTATCATCCAAAATGAATTATAATTTTATAACATGTTTCAAAGCGAGGTTCAATTTAGACGATACAAATTGCTTGGCTTATTAAATGTTATCTTTGTAGAAACTATTATAACAACCATGGTTATATATGCCCAAAACTGGCATATTTATATTTCTTTATTCTTCTAGGTGTGAAAACGCTATGAAACGATGTTTACATATAATCATTAAAAATTTAGACAGATCGTGAAACTACAAGTTTTTTAGGCGTTCTCTACTAAAAGTTTCTTTATTCTAATATATTTAAACATCTTACAATGTCAAATTGCCCGTATAACATCGATTTTTCAAACCCACGCACCAATATCGACCAAAGAACCTGGTCGTGATCTGATCTAACTAATTCCCCCCTGTGGGACATACCATTGGACGACACCCCCCTTTCTCCGCCTGGTCAATATAGTCAGAATCTTAAACCATAAATCCCCACGTGGAAATCGGGTGGAAGACAATTCGTTGTAGTTCAAGATGAATTTCCAATATTTAGGACTCTTCTTTTTCCTTTAAAATGGTCTTAACAAAATCGTATCTGCGTTACGTCGAAGCTGGAATCTTTGGCGTAGTGGGAAGTGCTAGAGCTAATGTGTGTCTTGTTCAAAGTGGCGAGAAAAGACGTGAAATTTGCCTCGCGATTGTTCCCGCACTAGAAAATGTATATATTTGGGACGCTAGACTTGGCGAAAAAGTATTCGAAGAGAATTGTTGAAACCTTTAAACAATGTTATATTTTCCACTATTTAAAAGTGTTTTTATGATATGCTTATCTAAATGTCTAGGTGAATGTCTTACAAGGTAACAAGAGCGAAGTGACATGTCTCTGCCTCAGTCCTGACTCTGAACATCTTGCTGTTGGGTGAGTAAAAGAGCTTATCTAATTAAATAATATAGCATTTCATTATGTCTTGTAAATGATGCCGGATATTTACTTCATTGTGGCTAATCAACACTTTTAACAGTAAAAGGTATGGTTGTAAGAAACACAAGGTCAGGCAGGGGAAAGGGCTTGACCACCCTGCTTATAAAAGCCAGATCCTATACCTCCTAACTTATAAAAGCCAGATCCTATACCTCCTAACTTATAAAAGCCAGATCCTATACCTCCTAACTTATAAAAGCCAGATCCTATACCTCCTAACTTATAAAAGCCAGATCCTATACCTCCTAACTTATAAAGCCAGATCCTACTCCTAACTTATAAAGCCAGATCCTATACCTCCTAACTTATAAAAGCCAGATCCTATACCTCCTAACTTATAAAAGCCAGATCCTATACCTCCTAACTTATAAAGCCAGATCCCACCCTTCCCCTTGTATTCTGAAAGATCTTGATATCCAAAAAATGTCAATCACCTGTACAGTATGTAATGTTAAAATAAAAATCTTGCCATTTCCCACGAGTCCCAAACTATTTTAATTTCTACATCTTTGTTAGACTAGATAAATTATATCACTTTGACAACAAGTAATAAAATTTGCCCTTATAAAATAATTTTCCTTGCTTTTGAAAACTGAACAGCTTTTGATCTTAATGTATAAATTTGCAGCTGCTTACAGGCAGAAGAATGTTAAACTTAACCTGCATACATGCACCTCCACCTGCAGTTTATTTTAAATTTTAGGTATGGTGATGGTGTCATCAGAATTTGGAATATAAATAATGGTACATCCTCAGTGACATTTAGGTACATTTCCTGTCATGGAATATATTTTTCATTTTGTTCTATGCTCAACCATTTGTTTACCATCGGTACTAGATTTCTAGTTACAAAACAGTCCAAAACTCATTTCAAAAAATTTTGGTAAACAAACAGTTAATATACTCATCAGCTATTATAATATATGTGCTAGGCACATCAACCAAAATTTTCCAACTTCAAGACCCACAATGCAGCAACAAGGTATAAGAGGTATCCTGGAGAGGGTTACAACTTGTACAGATGTTGCTGATGGTGCATTTTGCCCTATTTAGCCTTTTGTTTGCCATTGCAACTTCTGTGTTCCAATCACAAAGCAGTTCAAAACTCAATTGAGAAAATTTGCCAGTAAACAAGTTACTACTTGAAGACATTTTTACACGCTCTCAACCAAAAGGAACGTGGAAAGTTTTCAAATTTCAGTATATAAAATCAATGAAAGATAAATGAACATTAAATGCCTTGTAATTTACACAGAAACTTCTGAAACTATAAGAATAGTCAATACAACCAGTGTTGTCCCTAAAATATAGTATCAAGCAGTGACATAGTCAATGTCGCACTATTGCATTACTGTGGAAGGGTAGACTTGTGTTTTAGTGTAAAATTATTAATTCTGGTGAATGGATGTGTATCAGCACTAATGTTTTCAAAGATGCAAAGCAACCATCTTCATTAGGCATTTTCTATTCTTGCCATATCTCTTTAAAAGATTAAAAATTATTTCATCTTTTGTTTCATTGAATTTCTTCTAAAGTAAATGGTTTGAAACCGGGAGTATCGTTACATGTTTGTAGATGTAGATCATCCAGGTTGGTATAGTCCTCCAAGTCCTATAGAACAACAAAACAGTCCTTCTCAGGACTATACCAACCGAGCGATCTACATTAACAACATGAATTTCTTCTAGTGGTCATGAACAGTAGTTACAGCTCTTAACTATGATTATACTGGTGTCAAATTGGTGTCTGGATCAAAGGTATTCTTTATTGTGATTTTTATGACACTTGAATCAATTGCTATAAATTGTGAATGGTAGTTTATAAAATGTAAACAATTCATTTGTGTTGTTTTCTGTCACTACTATAGGATACAGATGTCATTGTTTGGGATATAATTAATGACTCAGGAATGTTCGGAATACGATTATGATCATTTAATGTTATATGACAAGTTTTTTTAAAATAAACATGTTTCAACATCTTATGATGCCATCTTCAGTATAATAAAAGTATTGTATGTATTAATGAATATAAATAAAGAGTAATATGATACAGTATTACAATTTATACAATTATGAGTAAATTATATATAAATATTACAATGAAATATTGATTAGAATAAATGATAGTGTATTTATATGAAAGGTGGCATCATGAGATGTTGAAACATGTTGACTAAACTTGTGGTATTCATTAACTGTGCATTATCAATACTGCTTATCGCAGTTATGATTATGTTGATATTCAAAGTAAAGTGCTTTCATGTTTGCTATATTTGACAAATGTTGAGTTTATGTTACTAACTGAGAGTGGGGAGTATGACTTACTAAATAAAAGTCATGTATCGCTATCTGAATACCTATGAACTGAGTGTAGAGGTATGAATTACTGACTTACAGTGGAATATTTAAACTGAGGTCTTGTCACCTACATACACACTGTACGTATGTTGTAAAGCTTAGAAGCTACGTATCATATGACAGAAATGTCAAAGTTAGCGAGTTCTTCATTATATAGCAATGTTTGTTAAGAAAGAGATAAATGATGTGTATGTATGTATAACCACAATGTTCTTAAATTTGTTCTTTCTTCAGACTTAAAGGTCATAAAGGAATGGTGATTTTCAAAATGTTCTTATAACTAGGTAAATGTAGAAGATCTATTTTCATCTTAAATGGCTTTGCTAGTTTGTATTTAATGGTTTTGTCTTTCCTAGTTCCAAAGACACTTTCGTGAAATTTTGGGATCTTGATTCACAGCATTGTTTTCTTACCTTGGTTGGTCATAAAACAGAGATGAATGGAACCTATGAATTTGTTGTTATGATAGGATGTAGGAGTTGTCTACCCTTACTCTCCGTAAAAGAATAAGGATGAATACTTGGCTAGAAACATGGATTTAGGAACAGTAATAAAGTCACTGTAATGTACATTTTAAGGTTTGGGGCTTTGTCGTCGTCAAGAATGAAACAAGGTTAATTACTGGTTGTGCTGATAGTGAATTGAGAGTTTGGAAAATTAGTACAAAGATGATAGAACAGAAAGACGCGAAGACACGAGAAAACGAAAGACAACAACGCAATCTAGCGAGGATGGTGTAGGAGAAATAGAGGTACATAAGAGGTATTTTGTGGTCATTTCTCGGCGTTGTTTTGCATGATGCATGAGGGATAATTGTGGATGCTACTTAAATTCAGGAAACCAAATTTGAGATCTTTAGTTTTAATGCGTGTATGACGTAATATTAGGATTGTTGGTGGATATTTGTGGGTGTATTAGGAATGTTGATGGTATTTGTGAGGTAAATTAGGACTATTGGTGAATATTTGTGAGGTATACAGTATTAGGAATGTTGGTTGATATTTGTGGATAGGATTGTTGTCGATTTTGTGAATATTACTATGTTAAGCTAAACTAATAAGGTCTCTAATAAACTTTGTGTTTATAATTTGGCCATCTGCATAAGACCTGTCACCACTGTATCAAGCATTTAGTCTTGTTTTAAATTCATAAGTAAGCATTAAGTTCTAGTTTGAACTCGGATTTCAACTTCTATATTTCGAATTTCAATAGGAATTCCTTTCGTGTACAATGATTGGCTCTGTCATGAGAAGCTCAACTGATCGCGTAGTGACGCTGTATTGCGATCTTTCACGAACTTATATTGGTTGTCATGTACGTACGTTATGTAAGAAGTTTTTATTTGAGATTTGGATTGTAAAAAATTGCTATGGAGATGATGAACATTATGTGGCTACAGCTCAGCTTTATGTTAGAACCTAGTATCAACTATAAATGGCTTTTCTGATTGGATTAATCAAACATTAATGATAAACATTAAGTTTTCGTTCTTTATAATTCTATAGCTTATTGTATTTCATTGTACTATATAAAACCCTCGACAATAGCAACGCACAGCTTTCTAAGAAGTGGGTTTGGTATTCAATTATGGAAAACAAAATATTTAATTTACATATCAATTTTGCTTCGGTCACCGAGAGTCGTGTTGACATCTTGAGGGAATGTTCATTATAAAAGCAACTGTCTGAGTAATTTTCGTGTAATTTTTGCAGTAGCAAATATTGCTCGGTTTTCATTGGAAAAACTTCATTCTAATGTCGACCATAGATTGTCATTATTCATTTCATGATAACCAAGTTGAGAATGTAGTATTTTACGTATGTCAATAACATTCACGGTTATGAATGATTTTTGCAAAATATAATCAATATTTCTTATTTCACGAGAGGACTAAAGAACAGATGTGGTTATGTGAAGATAATTTTTATTTGTTTAGGGTGCTAATTCTACGTTAGAAATGTTTCGTCTTGCATCAGAAGACGAAATAAAAAAACGCTTGGCAAAAAGACGAAAAAAGATTTTAAAGAAGCAAAGGTTGTTGACTTTGAAATTTTAAAACTGTATTCAAGCTTTTTTATTCTCATACATGTGATATTTTTTACCATTATTTATTCCTAGATCACAAGGATTGGAAGCCGACGAGCTGACGGTTAGATAATTTTTGTTACGTGAAATTTGTGTGCAAAGAATTTTGACGAATCAAAATATACGTAGTTTACGCGAAGACATCACAATCTTGCCTCGTTTCTGTAACATTGTGATATTTCTCTTATTTTGTGAGTAGTTCTTATATATATTATGTCAAAATCCTGGAGCATATTTGGTTTTGTTGCTTGAAATGAAATAGATTTTGAGAATATAGAAACAGAAATACCTAGGAAAGAATCAGATATGCATTTTTCCAACATTTTAATTGTGTATTTGCGCACTATTTGTCTTATTTTTGAAACATGTTTTAACATTACTTTTATTTTATCAGGTTTCTGAAAACGTCTTAGCCACCGTCGAAGACGAGATTATAAAATTACCCGATGTTAAAACGACCTCAAAGATAAGGTAAAATGATGTATGGAGTACAAATGTTGTAATTCGCTTGTGGAAGTCAAGCGTTTTGTGTGTGAGAGAGTATTTTTTTAGACGTGCTCTTCTCAACGGATGTTTTTTCTTAAATATAACACAGACAAAGTTTATCGTTATTTGAAATTAATCAATGTTGTTTTAACACTTTCATAAATGCAATATTTTTAAGCCGTTTTACAATGTCAGTTTTAAAAATTGCTTGTTCAAGATGGCGGAATAAAAAAGTTATTTTTAAACGATTTTTATGATTGAATAGTCGTTTCTAGTCCTCCTCGTACATACGTACGTACGTCGTTCATTCACTTGTTTTGCTTTCCCTCCATTATAAAATACAAACATTGTTTTTTCTTATTAGGTCATTTGACTTTGCATTGAATTCAAATAATGATCTAAAGGTATCTCATTATTTTTGTCCGCGATTTTATTTTATATTTGAGAACTATGGATGTGTTAAATTGATGTTTCTGTATAATTCCAACTGTTGTCAAATAGTCATTTTGAACGATGAGAAATAGTCTTTCGTCATTTTTTATCATCTTATTTGATTGTACATGTAAAGAATGCGTAGTATACTGAATACTATGGAATTAGTTGCATCCACTTGAAATAAGAAGTTTTTTAATTTCTACAGATTTCATTATTACTACACAACAACAGCGTAGAGTTTCATGTCTTCAATGAAGAAAAGAAAGATTCAACTAATATACTTTCCATAAAGACACCTGGTCATCGTAGTGATGTAAGGTATGTGGCTACGTAGATCTCAATTAACTTGGAATGTGATGACAATAAGTTAAAGTCTTAAATCTCACGTGCCTTTGAAGCGTCATGCTCAACAGCTCACTTCATCTGTTTGATCCTAGCTTTGTTACTTTAGGACTTTGTCATTCAATTCTGACGATTCCTGCATCCTCTCTGGCGCAGCTGAAAGTGTTAAATTGTGGAACAGGAAAATAAACAGATTTTTAAAGTTGTGTTTGTGTATTTGCTTGTAATTTCTTTAACTACAACGTACAATGATGCATATTTTTTTAATTTTTATCAAGTTGTACCAACAGGATTATCGTTCTTTCTGTTAGGCGAATAAGGTTCGAATAAATTTTAATGGGGGATTGGGAGTGAAAAAAATCAAAGTTTACTAAAAAAGCCATTATGCAAGGAATTAAAATAGCATTCAGAAGGATGTAAAATTGCCGTAACAGACTTACGTACTCTACGCTATCATTGTTTGTGGGTGGAAAGAGTGACTGTGTCTATGTCAACCTGTGATGATATTTCTAATAAATTTATAGATCGACTCAGAAATGCATCCGAACAATGTCTTCTGGTTATTGTCTAAGTTCGCTCTTTGTACCTGGTGACAGACACGTTGTTGTTGGTACTAAGGTATTCCGGATTAATAAATGTGACTTTATAAAGTAGTGAGACAATGTAAGGTCATGTTACAGACACATTGTTGTTGGTACTAAGGTATACAACAATAGAAGATGACTTTATAAAGTATTGAGACAAGTATGATGTTGACCCTCTAAATTTCCTTTACAGGCTGGCAAACTCGAAATATTTGACGTTTCGTCTGGTTCATTGCTTGAAACTGTGGACGCACACGATGGTGCTATTTGGTCGTTGTGTTTAGCTCCCGATAATGTAAGGGACTTTACTTCATTTTAAAAAACATATTTTTGGTCCAGTCGTTGGAAAGTAACATTTTTGACAAAATTTGTGGACAGCCATGCCCTTCTTAATATGCTTTCTTTCGATTATTTCTGTAACAAAAATAGCAGAGATCTTTTTTTGGCAAACTTAAGTTATTCTGCTGCTTGTCATTTTGTAACTCCTTGAAGAAACAAGTGACGTATGCTTCACTTCTCTCCCCCCCCCCTCGTCGTCAGAGGGAGCTCCAGACTACGTACGTTTTGGTGATGAAATGCTACGTACGAAATGCTACGTAGTCTGGAGCTCCCTCGTCGTCAGAGGGAGCTCCAGACTACGTAGCATTTAGAAATGATGATTTTATCAATTTCTAGACGCTATTCGCCTCAGGAAGTGGTGACAAGGATGTAAAATTTTGGGAATTTGATTTGATTACGGATGAGAACTATTCAACGACCAGGTATTAAATATTTTGCATGTAAAGCAACGTTTGCACTCAACGTGATTTTTCTCACTCTTTTAACTTTGTAAGACGAAAAATTTCCATTGTCTGTCGGAGGAAAAACAACTTCATGTACTAATTCTGTTGAAGCTTGTGTTCTAAAGTTTTTTCTCTTGTTTTTCTTGTGCATTTCATGATGTTTGTAAAGAAAAGTGGTTAAATGTGACCATCCGCTCTTAGTTTCTTCAATCCTCAGCTTAACATTTTCTAATTGTATGATTCAATATTGTCTAATTGCTTTATGTATTTTGTTGTACAATTGGGTGATTCATTTTGTATATTTATTTTTAGTCAAAGATTAAGTATTTGTCATGCGCGAACATTAAAGATGAATGATGACGTAATGTGTGTAAAGTTCAGGTTAGTTGTTGATTTATTCGCCTGGGGGGGTGGGAGGGTATATGTACTTATGATCTTTCATTTAATCACGTGCCAACCTTCGTTGCAGTCTAAATCAAAAGTTTATTGCCGTGGCTTTGCTTGATTTTACAATGAAAATTTTCTTCACTGATACATTGAAGGTAAGTTGTTAAATATTTTTGTACGTAGTTATTGATATTGGATAGCAGTTGATAGTATTTGATAGCAGTTGATGATATTGGATAGTAGTTGATGATAATGTATAGCAGTTGATGATATTTGATAGAAGTTGGTTTTGGATAGCAGTAGTCAGAATATTTTCATTTGTTGCTGTAGATCACTTTAAAGATGACACCTTGTACGAAATTCTCCCATGTTTTTTCTATGAATCACGATAAAAATGCACTTTGAGTTAGAACTGTTTCCTTTTCCTACAAAAAAATTCACTAAAAAATCCACTTTTGTAAAAAGAAGGCGATATTTTTGTGTTTAAGCTAGTTACGTAACATTGGATTAATGTATGCTTTCCATCAACGTTATAAATTGATTACAGAAGTCTCAAAAATTTAACTAAATAAACATTTTCCTACCCATTTATCCTAATTACTTTTGTATTCATTCTTTAAATGTGGTTACTTTTCCCGCGTCGTTATTTAGTTCTTCCTATCCCTCTATGGTCATAAATTACCTGTTGTTACCATGGATATATCAACGGTACGTTTTATTCATATGACGTGTGTTTCAAAGTATCAACGTTTGACTGTCGTATTTGATAGCAGTGGATTGTGTTTGTGAGAAGAATCCTTAGCCTACGTCATACATTTTGTATACGTCACATCCGTTTTAGCTGTCGCATAAATTATACTGTTTTTTTTCAAGCTCACACGAACGGCTTCCAACTCTGTTTTGATATCATGTTTTATAATATGTTTTTTATTTTTGGTTGAAAGAACTTTACCACATAAAATACAAGAAAAATACGTATACACAAAAGATACATTACCAAGCTGTAAATAAGTCATTTCGCAATAGCTTTTCGAATTAGATATTTTGGAATTAAATTTACAAAGTGAATCAATTTTAAATAATTAAAACATTAATAATTTATGCGACAGTTCAAAAGAATGTAAAATTTGATGTTTATGAGAATGTAATGAAAATTAATTTGAAACTTTAAAAAAGACGTACATAATGTCAACTATGTATGACCGTGTAAATTTTTACCAATCCTCTGTTCTGAAAGTGTAGAGCGTGTAGCGGTCCATCTCTTGACCACTTTGTATTAGTGAACGCTTTTCAATGGCGTCGTTATTTATTTTTGAAACTTTTCTTTGTCTTTGGATTCGTAATTTTGTCATCCTTGATTCATTTTTTACAGGATAACGTTCTCCTCGTTTCTGGTGGCGTTGACAAGAACATTAAGATTTGGGGTTTGGATTTTGGTGATTGTCGAAAATCAATATTCGCCCATGATGACAGGTACGTACAATGTAATTTTAAATGACAGGTACACAATTTTATGATAGTAATATATGATAGCCTAAAACAGTTGATTATATCCCTACTATACACTCGTATCCTATGTACATCTTCATTTTACCCTGTAAACCCTCTTACCCTGGTTACATCATTGTTTCGTCATCACCATACCTTGTACGTCTATAACATACTAGTAAACCACGTCCTCAAATTTTTATACGTAGATTTCCTGCATATTTTTACCCGCATGTTATCAACATTACACCCACAATACCATTATATTATATTCACATGTTATCAACATTACACCTAGTAATACCTACATGTACTTTCATTGTATACTTTATATTCTCATGTTATCAACATTTTACATAGTAATACCTCCATGTACTTTCGTTGTATACCTTGTATTCTCATGTTATCAACATTACTCATAGTAATACCTACATGTACTTTCGTTGTATACCTTATATTCTCATGTTATCAATAATACACTTCCTAATACCTACATGTACTTTCATTGTGTACCTTATGTTCTCATGGTATCAACATTACTCATAGTAATACCTACTTGTACTTTCATTGTGTACCATATATACTCATGTTATCAACATTACACCCCACAATACCTACATGTACTTTTATTGTGTACCTTATACTCTCATGTTAACAACATTACACATGGTAATACCTACATGTACTTTCATTTTATACCTTATATTCTTATGGTATCAACATTACACCTAGTAATACCTACATGTATATTCGTTATTTATAATATAACAACTTTAATCTTCTTTTAGTGTCATGGCCGTGAAGTTCGTGCCAAAAACTCATTATTTCTTCAGTGCAAGTAAAGATAAAACGATAAAATATTGGGACGCTGACAGATTTCTTCATGTTACGACCTTAGAAGGTCATCATTCAGAAATATGGAGTCTTGCAATCAGCCATGACGGCGAGTTTGTTGTAAGTGTCAAGTATGGAAGGTTTTAGATAATGTTAAACATAAGTTTGCTTGATATGAATGTAAGTGTCAAGTATGGAAGGTTTAGATAATGTTAAACATAAGTTTGCTTGATATGAATGTAAGTCTCAAGTATGGAAGGTTTAGATAATGTTAAACATAAGTTTACTTGATATGAATGTAAGTGTCAAGTATGGAAGGTTTAGATAATGTTAAACATAAGTTTGCTTGATATGAATGTAAGTGTCAAGTATGGAAGGTTTAGATAATGTTAAACATAAGTTTGCTTGATATGAATGTAAGTGTCAAGTATGAAAGGTTTTAGATAATGTTAAACCTAAGTTTGCTTGATATGAATGAAAGTGTTAAGTATGGAAGGTTTAGATAATGTTAAACATAAGTTTGCTTGATGTGAATGTAAGTGTCAAGTATGGAAGGTTTAGATAATGTTAAACATAAGTTTGCTTGATATGAATGTAAGTGTCAAGTATGGAAGGTTTTAGATAATGTTAAACATAGGTTTGCTTGATATGAATGAAAGAATAAACGAAAAACGTTATTACCAATAAGAGTACCAAAGATCAACACTTATTCTTAACACTCCAGTTCCACATGCATTTTATTTTATCTTATAGATCAGTGGGTCACATGATAAATCATTAAGACTTTGGGAACGAACGGACGAACCGTTGTTTGTCGAAGAGGAGAGAGATGGTACTCTACATAGATCTGTTGCTGGAGCTACAAAAATATGCGTATAGTACCTGTACTTTCAATGTTTATTTTAATTTTTCTATTTAGGAGAGAGAAGCAAATTACGAAGAAAGCGCCGTAACAGGAGTTGAAACAATTGTAAGATTCTTTTTACTATGTAACATGAGATATGTATGTTCCATCTTGAGCCCAAGTACTCTGTATTTGTTATATACTTTCACTATGGAAAATATCTTGTGGAAGTTGCATTTATTGCACTAAATAAATTCATTTATTTAAACCATGATGTTGTTTAGATTCCAGGTGAACAAGACACAGAAGCTGTTAAAGCTGGCAAGAAAACTATCGAGACGATCAAAGGAGTTAGTTTTGTTGTTGTATTAGCATTGCAAGTTAATTTTATTGGTTTTGTGCCCTGTGCCCCCTGTAGTACCTGAAAGACACCTCAAAATCATACAGATATATCGAAAACTGTAGTACACCAAAGACATGTGAAGACTGTGAATATCTGAGACCAAGTGTTTAAGCTTACATTGAGACGGGGTACTCGGAAGATATTATAGTAGAATATAGATACTTGGAAGATTATACAGTATGATGGGGATACTTGGAGGATATTACAGTATAATATACAATATACGCCTGGAGATTACTATGTTGATGTTTGTTCTCTTATCTTTTCATTAGGCTGAAAGAATCATGGAGGCCATTGAATTGTATAAGGAAGAAAGACAGAAAGAACTTGAACATAAAGCGAGTCAAGTGACAAAAGACAAAACGGTAGGTTTTTTATTTCTTGCTCTGCACATCTACAAAATGTTTATGTTATACGTATAGACAATCTTCAATCTTAAATGAAAGGTTTGTTATTTCTTGCTCTGCACATCAACAAAATGTTTATGTTGTACGTATAGACAATCTTAAATCTTAAATGAAAGGTTTGTTATTTCTTGCTCTGCACATCAACAAAATGTATATGTTGTACGTATGGACAATCTTAAATCTTAAATGAAAGGTTTGTTATTTCTTGCTTTGCACATCTACAAAATGTTTATGTTATACGTATGGACAATCTTAAATCTTAAATGAAAGGTTTGTTATTTCTTGCTCTGCACATCTACAAAATGTTTATGTTATACGTATAGACAATCTTCAATCTTAAATGAAAGGTTTGTTATTTCTTGCTCTGCACATCTACAAAATGTTTATGTTGTACGTATAGACAATCTTAAATCTTAAATGAAAGGTTTTTTATTTCTTGCTCTGCACATCTACAAAATGTTTATGTTATACGTATAGACAATCTTCAATCTTAAATGAAAGGTTTGTTATTTCTTGCTCTGCACATCAACAAAATGTTTATGTTATACGTATGGACAATCTTAAATCTTAAATGAAAGGTTTGTTATTTCTTGCTCTGCACATCAACAAAATGTTTATGTTGTACGTATAGACAATCTTAAATCTTAAATGAAAGGTTTGTTATTTCTTGCTCTGCACATCAACAAAATGTTTATGTTATACGTATGGACAATCTTAAATCTTAAATGAAAGGATTGTTATTTCTTGCTCTGCACATCTACAAAATGTTTATGTTATACGTATGGACAATCTTAAATCTTAAATGAAAGGTTTGTTATTTCTTGCTCTGCACATCTACAAAATGTTTATGTTATACGTATAGACAATCTTCAATCTTAAATGAAAGGTTTGTTATTTCTTGCTCTGCACATCAACAAAATGTTTATGTTGTACGTATAGACAATCTTAAATCTTAAATGAAAGGTTTGTTATTTCTTGCTCTGCACATCAACAAAATGTTTATGTTATACGTATGGAGAATCTTAAATCTTAAATGAAAGGTTTGTTATTTCTTGCTCTGCACATCAACAAAATGTTTATGTTGTACGTATAGACAATCTTAAATCTTAAATGAAAGGTTTGTTATTTCTTGCTCTGCACATCAACAAAATGTATATGTTATACGTATGGACAATCTTAAATCTTAAATGAAAGGTTTGTTATTTCTTGCTCTGCACATCTACAAAATGTTTATGTTATACGTATGGACAATCTTAAATCTTAAATGAAAGGTTTGTTATTTCTTGCTCTGCACATCTACAAAATGTTTATGTTATACGTATGGACAATCTTAAATCTTAAATGAAAGGTTTGTTATTTCTTGCTCTGCACATCAACAAAATGTTTATGTTATACGTATGGACAATCTTAAATCTTAAATGAAAGGATTGTTATTTCTTGCTCTGCACATCTACAAAATGTTTATGTTATACGTATGGACAATCTTAAATCTTAAATGAAAGGTTTGTTATTTCTTGCTCTGCACATCAACAAAATGTTTATGTTGTACGTATAGACAATCTTAAATCTTAAATGAAAGGTTTGTTATTTCTTGCTCTGCACATCTACAAAATGTTTATGTTATACGTATGGACAATCTTAAATCTTAAATGAAAGGTTTGTTATTTCTTGCTCTGCACATCAACAAAATGTTTATGTTATACGTATGGACAATCTTAAATCTTAAATGAAAGGATTGTTATTTCTTGCTCTGCACATCTACAAAATGTTTATGTTATACGTATGGACAATCTTAAATCTTAAATGAAAGGTTTGTTATTTCTTGCTCTGCACATCTACAAAATGTTTATGTTATACGTATAGACAATCTTCAATCTTAAATGAAAGGTTTGTTATTTCTTGCTCTGCACATCAACAAAATGTTTATGTTGTACGTATAGACAATCTTAAATCTTAAATGAAAGGTTTGTTATTTCTTGCTCTGCACATCAACAAAATGTTTATGTTATACGTATAGACAATCTTCAATCTTAAATGAAAGGTTTGTTATTTCTTGCTCTGCACATCAACAAAATGTATATGTTGTACGTATGGACAATCTTAAATGAAAGGTTTGTTATTTCTTGCTTTGCACATCTACAAAATGTTTATGTTATACGTATGGACAATCTTAAATCTTAAATGAAAGGTTTGTTATTTCTTGCTCTGCACATCTACAAAATGTTTATGTTATACGTATAGACAATCTTAAATGAAAGGTTTGTTATTTCTTGCTCTGCACATCAACAAAATGTTTATGTTATACGTATGGACAATCTTAAATCTTAAATGAACAATGTTAAATAACCATAACCGGCAACATCACAAAACTTTCCACTGTTATTAAAGCCTACCTGTGAAACTACCACCAATATTTTCTTACTCTTTGATTTTGACCACGCCCTGCATCGTTATTTAACCCTACCCATGAAACCAACAATATTTTCCTGCTCTCTAATTGGGACAACGCCCTACACTGTTATTAAACTCTACCAATGAAACCACCATTATTTTCATACTGTCTAATTGGGACCACGCTCTGCACTGACCTACCCATGAAACTACCACCAATATTTCCACACTCTCTAATTGGAACCACGCCCTTCACTATTGTCTGATTTATACAGAAAATCCCAGTTTCGTTTTTTAAACAAGTTCTTTTTGTTCTCACATACATTTTCTTTCATTTGAACAGCTTCCAAAGCGCGCCATTCATCCGATTCTTGCTGCCCTTGGTAATGTCAGTGTAAGTTTACTATATCTTTAATGTTTCCATTTAAGAACAACATGAAGGCCACGTGATACAAGATGAAAGTCACGTGCATGTTGAACATGATTAATGTAAATATTAATGTAATGTTAAGATTGCAAGATTTACATACGTACGTACGTAGATAAGGGGAAAATGGATGAGATGGCTTTACATTTATAATAACTATATGTTTGTAAATGTAGATCATCCAGGTTGGTATAGTCCTGAGAAGGACTGTTTTTGTTGTTGTTGACTGACGTTTCGACAACCTTAGCGGCAGTCATCTTCAGAGTCAATAGAAGAGTAAACGTCAGGTTAGCCACATTAGTTATCTGGTTCTTACGTAACAATCTGAATAGCCTCTTGTGTGTTTACTTTATTACGATCATTTGGACGACAGAGCGAACAACTTGCTAACGACTACATACGTTTTGCAAGCAACGTCAGACGTATACGCCAACAACTCTTGTTCAACCACCGCTGCAAGGATTTTTGTCTCGTTCCGGCAGGACTTAGAATTAAGTACTCGTTGAACACACAAGAGGCTATTCAGATTGATACGTAAGAACCAGATAACAAACGTGGCTAACCTGACGTTTACTCTTCATTTGACTCTGAAGATGACTGCCGCTAAGGTTGTCGAAACGTCAGTCAACAACACCATCAACAGTCCTTCTCAGGACTGTACCAACCCTGACGATCTACATTTACAAACATGTAAAGATACTCCCGGGTTCAAACCATTTACTTTATTTATAATAACTCTAGAAAAAATGAGAGTTGAATGTAAAATACACAGGATTTGTAATAATGAAATAAAATATCTTGACCACGAAGATGGAGGCCATAAATATTGTTGTTCTACGATTGAATGCCTGTCTATGTCAGCCTCCTTTTCCCGGACCATATAATTACGACGTTTTTAAAAAAATTTTTCTTCTCACAGCTTGTGCAGTATGTACTTCTAGTGGTGAAAAAAGTAAAGTCAAGGTAAAGTTGAAGTATTATAAAGAGCAGAAAATTATCCCGTGAAGTATCGTTGTTTGTACTAAAAGTTAATTTAGAGCATTTTAAAAGTAAAGTATGGCAAAGTGTCTCGTTGGAGATACTAAAGGAATTAAATATTAAGCGTTATTAGAATACAGTAGAGAGGTATCTTATGAAGCAAGTGTTTTTCTACAAAACATTTAAATTATTTAATTTCAGCGAACTTGAAGAATCATTGCTTGTGTTACCGTTTGACTATGTTATTGATGTACTGAAACTTCTTCTTGAGTGGATTAAGGTAAAGTGAAATGTATTTTGACTCCTTTGTCCTTACTTCACATGGTACAGGTTTCGTTTTCAAATTTTCCTCATCCCAGATGTACGTGATTTTTTAGAATGGTTGGGAAACAGAGTTAAGTTGTCGATGTCTGTTCTTTCTGCTGCGGTAAGATTAAGACGTAATTTTATTTTATGTTTCGATCGATATTTTTTTCAATACGTCTGTCTTTAAATCATTCCCTAAGAATTTCATAACGTTTCTTCAGTATTGCTGAATATATGATACAATTGGTGAGATACCTATGTACAGTGCTGGATATTTTCATTTTTTACATATTTTGTTACGATAGAATACATCACAATAAGATCATATCCACTCCTGAACTACTGCCAGTAATAGACTCTATCAGATCCCATTGTCGTAGCCGAGTTCGCGAAATGAAGGTAGGAAGATGTACGTTCAATAAACCGCAAGTATCGCCAAATTTCTCCCGTAACTTTACCATGCGCTACACGACCGTTAATTTATTCGTGGTAAATTTTGTCGACACTTTAATGACTGTAAACTAAACAATTAAAAGCAATTAAGGCTTTCTTTCACATTACAGTGCCAATCTTAATATTGAGTTTGGCTTTGTATTAAAAAGGTTCATAGAATATTCTTTTTTGTATTAACAACAGAAAAAAGTATGTATTTAGAAACAAAAATATTCAAGAATATGAACATTTCATTTTTCTCTAGTTCTTTAAATTTTGCTAAATTAATCGTTTTTAGTTTTTGAATTTTGTACTTCAAACTGCCACGGATGACTTTTTAAAATATATGAACTGAACAAGTGACTTTTCAAATCATTTGAACTGAACTAATGACTCTACAAATTATATGAACTGAACAATTTTTCTTGAATTTTTACATCGATGACGATAAAACTATTGCACACATGTAATGATTGCTTTATCTTTAGGATACTGTTGGATTCAATTTGGCGGGACTGCAGTTTATTCAAAGACAGCTTGAGAATCGTGACGTCACCTTCTATTTCGAAACACGCGAGAGACTGGGACAAATGCGAAAAAAGAAGAAGACAATTGTGAGGAAATTTCGATGAAGGTAATTTTGTTGTTGATACTTTGACAACTAAAACGATTGTCTTTGAAAGTACACAATGCCTGAGGTTGATTTCTGAATATAGCCATCCTCGAAGATCCCTAACCCAAACTGTATCCCTAGAGGGAAAACCTAAAATCCCCGTTGTGCCCTTCAAATTACAACTTTCGTGATCAGCAGACGTTTAAATTTTGCATGATTCAGCAGTTATTGATACTTGATCAGGCTTAAAAGCTATAGAAAGGAATTTCGATCTTGGTATTTTTATAACTAAATATTGGGCTAGCCAGACCTGGACAATCAAATGAGTCTTTTACTTCTATGACATTAAAATACACTTTTTGCGCCTCTAATTCTTGCTACCAACTACATAAATAATCTTACTGCAAACTGATTTCAGAAAAGTTAAATATAAATGAAAGTGAGATCATCAAATTCAACATCACAACTATCGGTGAATACCTCCATCAAATGAAAATATAGAATTAAAATAAGTTATTACATTACGTAAATTGCATATTTCTCAGTTATTAAAAAGAAGAGTGTCACAAAAATTAAGGGAGTAATTCCAACTATAAACAGGAAGAAATAATGAATCGATTAACAATTATCAAGCAATTCACCCATCTACAGTACTTATAAAGAAAAAATGTATTTTATGAGTTACCAAAATGAATACAGAAAAAAGTGCATCCTCATATGGCAAAGTAGTCTTCTGGTCATTTAAGCATTCAAAAAAAAGGGATGTAAAATTGTCATAGTTCCTCTATAATATGGATTTACTCTCATGAAAATGACCCAACAAACAGTCCACTCATTTTAAGGAGCTTTACAACTTCAGACTAAATATTTAGATAAATATATAGATAGATAGATTACAAACTTACTAATCTTATATACACTGTAAAGTTCCGTACAAGTTTCTCAGCTAACAGAAATAACTGTTCCAGTAAATAAATGACTACTGAAAACTTGAAAATACAAATGTTTGTATTGAATATTATCAAGAATTTGTTAAAACTTTTTTATATACAACTGTTGTTGTTTGTGTAATTTTTTTCCTTACTTCACGGAACCACAAATCCATTTCTTCTTTCTTCTATCTCGTTGTAAATTTTCTCAAACACGGAAGCTTCTTTAGCAACTAGCAATTTAAAGCTGCATTGTCAATTTCTGTAGATGGTTTATTACCAAATGAAGATTATCGTACATTATTCCAGAATTAGCATATCAGGACTTTTGTTTGAAATTGTATTGCTCGTTCATAAAAATGTTTTGCTATTTCGTATTCACCTATATCACTGTAAACCAAATTAAGATTGTTGTACGTTGTCGCGATATTAACATGGTCAGGTCCAAATGCTTTCGTTTTAATATCCATTGCTCGTTCGTGAAAATCTTTTGCTTTTTCGTACTCTCCCATATTTTTGTAAACCAAACCCAGATTGTTGTATGTTGTCGCGATATTAACATTGTCAGGCCCAAATGCTTTCGTTTGAATTTCCATCGCTTGAATGCAAAAATGTTTGGCTTTTTCGTACTCTCCTAATTTACTGTAAACCAAACCTAGATTGTTGTACGTTGTCGCGATATTAACATGGTCAGGTCCAAATGCTTTAGTTTGAATTTCCATGGCTCGTTTGTAAAAATCTTTTGCTTTTTCGTACCCTCCCATATTTTTGTAAACCGAACCAAGATTGCAGTACGTTGTCGCAATATTAACATGGTCAGGTCCAAATGCTTTCGTTTTAATTTCCATTGCTCGTTTGTGAAAATCTTTTGCTTTTTCGTACTCTCCCATATTTTTGTAAACCAAACCCAGATTGTTGTATGTTGTCACGATATTAACATTGTCAGGCCCAAATGCTTTCGTTTGAATTTCCATCGCTTGAATGCAAAAATGTTTGGCTTTTTCGTACTCTCCTAATTTACTGTAAACCAAACCTAGATTGTTGTACGTTGTCGCGATATTAACATGGTCAGGTCCAAATGCTTTAGTTTGAATTTCCATTGCTCGTTTGTAAAAATCTTTTGCTTTTTCGTACCCTCCCATATTTTTGTAAACCGAACCAAGATTGCAGTACGTTGTCGCAATATTAACATTGTCAGGTCCAAATGCTTTCGTTTTAATTTCCATTGCTCGTTTGTGAAAATCTTTAGCTTTTTCGTACTCTCCCATATTTTTGTAAACCAAACCCAGATTGTTGTATGTTGTCGCGATATTAACATGGTCAGGTCCAAATGCTTTAGTTTGAATTTCCATTGCTCGTTCGTAAAAATCTTTTGCTTTTTCGTACTCTCCCATATTTTTGTAAACCAAACCCAGATTGCAGTACGTTGTCGCAATATTAACATGGTCAGGTCCAAATGCTTTCGTTTGAATTTCCATTGCTCGTTCGTAAAAATCTTTTGCTTTTTCGTACTCTCCCATATTTTTGTAAACCGAACCCAGATTGCTGTACGTTATCGCAATGTTAACATGGTCAGGTCCAAATGCTTTTGTTTGAGTTTCCATTGCTCGTTCGCTAAAATCTTTTGCTTTTTCGTACTCTCCAATACTTTTGTAAACCAAACCCAGATTGCAGTAGGTTATCGCAATATTAACATGGTCAGGTCCAAATGCTTTCGTTTCAATTTCCATTGCTCGTTCGTAAAAATCTTTTGCTTTTTTGTACTCTCCCACATCATGGTAAACTGAACCCAAATTGCAGTACGTTGTCGCGATATTAACATTGTCGGGTCCAAATGCTTTCGTTTGAATTTCTATCGCTTGTATGCAAAAATGTTTGGCTTTTACGTACTCTCCTATTTTACTGTAAACCAAACCCAGATTGTTGTACGTTGTCGCGATATTAACATGGTCAGGTCCAAATGCTTTCGTTTGAATTTCCATTGCTCGTTCGTAAAAATCTTTTGCTTTTTCGTACTCTCCCATTATTTTGTTAACCTGACCCAGATTGCAGTATGTTGTCGCAATATTAACATGATCAGGTTTAAGTGCTATCGTTTTAATTTCCATTGCTCGTTCGTAAAAATCTTTTGCTTTTTCGTACTCTCCCATTTTAGTGTAAACCGAACCCAGATTGTTGTACGCTGCCGCAATATGAACATGGTCAGGTCCAAAAGCTTTTGTTTGAATTTCAATGGCTCTTTCGTAAAAATCTTTTGCTTTTTCGTACTCTCCCATATTTTTGTAAACCAAACCCAAATTGCAGTACGTTATCGCAATATTAACATGGTGAGGTCCAAATACTTTTGTTTCAATTTCCATTGCTTGTTCGTAATAATCTTTAGCTTTTTCGTACTCTCCAATATTTTTGTAAACCAAACCCAGATTGCAGTACGTTGTCGCAATATTAACATGGTCAGGTCCAAATGCTTTCGTTTTAATTTCCATTGCTTGTTCGTAATAATCTTTTGCTTTTTCGTACTCTCCCATATTTTTGTAAACCGAACCAAGATTGCAGTACGTTGTCGCAATATTAACATGGTCAAGTCCAAATGCTTTCGTTTTAATTTCCATTGCTCGTTTGTGAAAATCTTTTGCTTTTTCGTACTCTCCCATATCATTGTAAACCGAACCCAGATTGCAGTACGTTGTCGCAATATTAACATGGTCAGGTCCAAATGTTTTGTTTGAATTTCCATGGCTCTTTCGTAAAAAACTTTTGCTTTTTCGTACTCTCCCATATCATTGTAAACCAAACCCAGATTGTTGTACGTTGTCGCGTTATTAACATGGTCAGGTCCAAATGCTTTTATTTGAATTTCCATCGCTCGTTCATAAAATCCTTTTGCTTTTTTGTATTCTCCATTCTTCCAGAGCAACTTACCCAGATCGTTGTACGAATATGAAACATCTACATGATTGACACTTAACGCTCTAGTTTGAATTGTCATTATATCCTTAAGTACATTGATGGCCTGTTTATAGTTGGCAAATTTTTCTAATACATTTACAAAGTAAATGGCAATTTTCAAATTTTTTTCATTGAGTTTTTGTTTTCTATAGAAAAAAAATAACGATTTCTCGTTTATCAACTTATTTTGAAATTGCTTAAATGACGAATTGTTTATAAATTTAATAAGATGTGGAGTTATTTTAATTTGATCTTCTCTGTCTTTAAAATGATAGAGTGACCAAGCGACTTGACACGCAAGTACAGACATCTTAGTCGAATTATTTGCTTTTTGTGTACTGCAAGAAGTCTGCGAAGATTGATAGTTTGTGATGGCTTCATGTACAACGCGATGCAGGCGGATGTCGTTGTTTTCCGATTGAAGAATTAACGAACAATGCTTTAATTGAAGACATATATCTACTGCAGATATATGTGGATCAATGCTTTTAATAAATTGTATGATAATATCTTGTGGTAACGGATCGAATGATATTATCGAGAAAAGACCAAAAACTTTTTCCATTAATGTGGATTCTTGAGTACTTTTTTGTACTGCCAGCTCAACAGTTTTCAATAAGGTTGATTTACCTCCAGAATATGCTGTATTGATCTTCTGAAATGCGGCATCCATGCTCTGTCGCTCTCCTTCAGTCAACTTATTGAAATATTGCTCCCACGAGAATTCCATATTTGCACTTTTTACACTACCTACGTAGTAAGCAGCACTTGCCAGGACCAATGGTTGACGATCTAATTTTTCTGACAACTTCTTCAAAAACTCTTCATCCTGATTATGAACATCGGTATAGACAGATAGAAGTTGACGACATTCTTTATCATTCATACCATGACTGATTGAAATGTGTTTGTTTATATTTCCATCTGGTGGTATAGCATCTGTATTTTGAACAGTTACTACAATTTGTCCATTTTTCCAGTTATGATCACCAACTTGAGGTAATAATGGATAAATTTTATCAAGTTCAACCACGTTATCTACAACAATCCACCATATTTTCCAAGATTTCAGTTTTTGTGTCAGCAGGAAATGAAAGTGCTTGATTCTGTCTTCGCTGCTTTTTACCTTCTTAAAAATATTTTCAATAAAAGGTTCATGTATATTCAAACGTTGACAAAGTTCATTATAAGTTTTTAAGAGAGAGTCAGCATCTTTTCCTTCGAGTGTCATCACAAATGTACTTTTATTTTCCCAGTCAACGGAGTTAAACATTTCGTCGCAAATTTGTCTGGCTAATTGAGATTTACCACTGCCAGGATTACCAGAAATATAGTAATATGTTAGTTCATTATTATTAGTACTGCGCAAGTTATTCAGATCTGCTGTGATTTTTTTAAGTAATTTTGTACGTCTAACGACATCGTGATTTGGTTTGCAAGGAAGTACTCGAAAAGAATCAAATCTGTTTCGTTCACATTTAATTTCATTAATTTCATTGAATGAAAATCCTAGATCATGAAACGAATTTTCAATATCACAAACCATTTTGTTAAATTCGGTATCAGATACTCTTCCAAAATTATTATGAATAAACTTGTTTCTAACAATACGAAGTACATCAACTGCAGAACTAACTTTTGTGTTAACTTTTGTTCCAATTGAGGTGGAAAACAATATTGCTGCGAACAGTGTTGTACAATCCCACTTACTGGTGTCACCATCTTGAAAAGTTTGCAGAATATGTTTATCATGAGGTTTCTTTTTTGTTTTTTCAATATTGAACAACTTCTGACCACTAACGTTTGTATTTTCCCATTGTCCAAGAGATTTTTTGTAATGTTTGTCCCACTCTTGGATAAATAAATCAGCAAGTTTCTTTTCAACGACATTTGTAAGTATTTCTTGTATAAAGTAGTTATTCCTTTTTTCTCTTGACTCCATCTACGGATCATAAAATGATCATAAGATGAGCACTAATTATTTATAAATACAATTTATGGACAACTGAAATAGTTGAAGATTGAGTTGGTAAATTTCCAATTGTACATGAAATTGGTTAACCAACGTAGCAGCAGAAACACAGAAAAATATTTTCATGCATTTAGGTATTTTTGTGGCAGTTAAACAAGTTGTTGGAAACATTCATAAAACTTAATTTTAAGTGTAGCCAAAAGCAATGCAAGCAGTTGGTCTATAGGTGTGTTAACAAACCGATCTGAGCTCTACCAATTAAATCAATCAATCAATTTAAGGGAATTTGCAGATCAATCAAATTCATGTTAGAAGAGAAGTTAAAACGTTTTTTCTAGTTTCCCTGTTTCGCATCATTGCATGCAGTACGTTTTTATAAAAAAAACAAAAGTGTTTGCACTGCTTTATGCCAAGTTTGGAGAAGTTTTGAGTTCTCCTGAAGGTTTCCATAGTGCAAACAGTAGATATGTAAAAATCTTTTATAAAAAACTATCTACATGCGATGCAGGTTATTATATTACTCCACAGATGTTATCATTAGTAAATGTACTTTTTGTAACTCACCATAATAAGACACATGACCAGTTTATTACTATGAAATATGTTTATTATAAGAATAACGTAATATTAAAGAAAACATGACCAGTTTATCCACAACAATATCAACACACGAACATCAACTCATTTGCATCATCCTAACCATTCCTGAATGCGTTTCAACAAAGACTTTTTATGTAAAGCTGACACAAACTGCGTGTAATCGGTATAAAATAATTACAAATATTTATTGTAGTAAATATTTGTAATTTAATCATTCCATATAGTAATCACTTTACACTATATGATTGTAAAATTTTTGGTTATATTGAAAAAAATCAATATAATAATAGTATTTTACATTGATTTAAGTTTAGTTGTGCCAAAGGTCTTTAAAATCTGGCTTGTTTTCCGTTGACGATGCAGGATATGCATCTTCAACATGAAATTTGAATGAGACGTGACAAATGAATAAAAAAAGAAATATTTTTCACCTTCCATACATTCAGCTTATTCCAAAGACCATAATTCATGCACTAAACTCAGAACATTTAAATTTGTGTAACGAATGACATGTTATTAATCTTATAGCTTTGCTATATGAATATAATTTGAGTTAAACTATTGAAATAAGTCGGAAAAGATCAGAAGTTTCCATTACTAAATCGTTACAAACGCAAATTTATTGTAAAATCCCATTAGAATCAACAAATGTTATCCATATAAAACATATACGTAACGCGGAAATGACTTTATCACAAATTTTTCTTGACATAAAGAAATAATTGATAAATAAACATAAAATATTAAATCCCAAACTTAAAATACATTATTACAATGACAGGTAAACTTTAAAATCAACATACCTTCACAAATTGAGAAGGATTAAAAAGATGCAACCAACTATATGATGTCTTTGCTTTTGCTTGATAATAAAGAAATTGGAATGTTCACTAAATGTTCAATTTTAATCACCTGCTGTTTTTATTGTAAAATATTGAATACTGTTCATAACAGCGAAGCGATAGAATGAGCAATGCAAATTTTATAGCTGGATAGCTGACTTCTCGACACTATGTGCATGTAGATAAAATTTGGTATCAAACCATTTTGCATAATGGCTATAAAATGATAAAGTAAATTAGCTAGTTTACAGACAATGACCATTAAGATGAAGATAACTGGAACACTACTTTTGAAGCCAAAAATTGCGGGACTCTGGACACGCGTGTAATGTTAGGGTAAATAAGAAAACTTTCCATTGAGAAATTTTGAGCTTATTTGTCATGCCTTTAAAAAGATATTTTGTGATTTTACTATGATAAATTCCTAATCAATCAAGTTCAAGAAAAATGCTGAAAAAAAGAGCTCAAAACAAGATTTAATATTAAA